CAAGATGTGAATTTTTTTGTTCAAATACAGCAACTTCAGCACATTACTGTGTGTACATACATTAGTACCTACATTTTAGAACAATAACTAAGAGGTGCTTTTATGTCTTGTAAAGATACCTTGTACAGCTCAGGCTGGGAGCATTTAACAGGAGAGATTGTGAAGTTCTTTTTGAATGTCAACATTGTGCTCTGTGTGAGCAGAGTAATCTTCAACAGAAACGCACCACCAGCACACGCGATGCTAAGAATGTGCAAAGACATCGACAGTAGATCTAGTGAGGGGAGCAACGTTCACATTGAGGCTTAAAAAAACCTTACACGATGAGTGCTCCAGCTTCTAAGGGCTTGTCTACACTTACAACGCTGCCACAATGCTGTAGTGCTTACTGAAGATGCTACGGGAGAGGCGGTAGTATTGATGGGAGAAGCCCTCCCCTCAACATAGCACGGTCTATACCGGGGGTTAGATTGTTCTATGTCACTCAGGGGGTGCAGGTACGCTAGGGCTTATACCAAGATAGCTCTGTTCACAAAAAATCACTACCCTTACTGACGGCTATCAGTTTTAAGTACAGTCCAGGCCTAAGGCCCAGTTAAGTGACACAGGACTCTCCCATCTACTATTTTCACACTGCTTCTGGCCCTACCCACATGGGCAACAAGAGTCCACGTTGCTATTTTAAGTGTTCTAGCTGGAGCCCCACTAGTGCAAGTCTCTCTACCCAGGCTGGAGGCTCGCGCCCAGCTGCAGTGTAGACATACCCTACAGGCCAAACCTCTGTGGGTACGTCTTTACTGCATAGTAAACCTTGGCTCAGACTCAGGTTTAAGCCCAAACTCACCTACTGTCCACACACAAAGTCTTCTGACTTGAAGCGGAAACCTCAGGAATGCAGACTTGCCCAGGGATAAGGGTCTGAGTCTGAGACCCACTGCAGCATGGGTCCGAGGCCACTCATTTTGCCATGTGGACACAGCTGAAGCTCAGGTTGCCAGGCTTACGTTTTGGAGAGTCCACCAACCCTATCGCATAAATCCTCTAGTCCGGTGCATCCCAGACTTTCCTTCCCCAATCTTCGTACTCAATTCCCAAAACAGAAGCAACCTCCGGATTGAAATACAGTTGCTGGATATTTAACTCTTGATGTCCATGTGGACTGGTCAGCTGGCAACACCGTTCACCCTCTTGTGCGTTAGCAATGGCCAGCAGGGACACAGAGTCCTCCACCCAGCGCGCTGTGTTTTGGAGGGTAATTCTACCTCCTCGTGCGCTTTGTAAAGCAAATGATTTGCCATTGTTTCGCTCCGCTCTTCTGACATGGCCCAACCCTGTGAGTGTGGGTCCCATCTTGCGCCCGTTTCCTATGCTGGTACTACTTATGGTACGTGTCCTAATTACATTAACCCCGTCTCGCGGCCTGCCCCACACCACCTTGTCAGCAACTACTCGCTCTCACTTCTCCATCCCTGTGCCCCTTCTCCCCTGCCTGTGATCACCCACCTGCATGTGCTCCTCAGACCCTCCCCCGTACCAGGCTGCATTGGTGCACTCCCCCCCCCGCCCCAGCCTGTACAACCCCCTTCCCCTGCCTATGCCCCTCTCCCCCATCTGTGCCCCTCAACCACCCCCTTCCCCTGCCTGCTCCCCTCTCCCCCCCCAGCCTGTACCACCCCCTTCCCCTGCCTGCTCCCTTCTCCCCACAACTGCACAACACCCCTGACCGCTTGCGCCCCTCCTGCCCCAGCCTGCACATCCCCCTCCCGCTTGTGCCCCCTCCCCCCAGCCTGTACAAAGCCCTCCTGCCTGTGTCTCTCTCCCCCACCTGCGCCTTTCCTGGCCCTGCAAACCCCTCCTCTCCCAGCCTCCACATCCCCCTCCTGCCTGTGCCCCTTCCCCCAGCCTGTACAAAGCCCTCCTGCCTGTATCTCTCTCCCCCACCTGCGCCTTTCCTGGCCCTGCAAACCCCTCCTCTCCCAGCCTCCACATCCCCCTCCTGCCTGTGCCCCTTCCCCCAGCCTGTACAAAGCCCTCCTGCCTGTATCTCTCTCCCCCACCTGCGCCTTTCCTGGCCCTGCAAACCCCTCCTCTCCCAGCCTCCACATCCCCCTCCTGCCTGTGCCCCTTCCCCCAGCCTGTACAACGT